TTAGCACAGGGTTGTCCACTTAGAATATCATGCTTTGCATATCATCTCCAAAAATGTCTCCCCATTACATTGGAGATCAGATCACCCATCGGACCAACCCAGAAACTTATACTTTGAAATTTACATGTATCGAATACTTTTCATTAGACTTGTGCAAAACAAAATTGGTTTGGATGAATCACTTCATCTGAAAACATTTTTCACTTTGTATCATCCAATAGTCATTCATAAGCCAACAGTATGTGAAAAAAGGAGTCTATGCGTCTGCTATAATGTAAAAATAACTACAATATTGCCTAGCCTAATGGCTATTTAATAACAGATATTTTGCAATGAGTTGTCAAAATTAGATTATAATATATCTGTTTTCATTTTGATGAGTGATTATGTTTCTTTTTAAATCTTGTACTAATGAAAATGGGGATGCAGCAGGAGTAATTTTAAGTTGGAAAATAATTTTTCAAAATACGAAGAAAGGGAAAAGTCAGTGTGCAGTTGATAACCCACTCACCACATCCACCCTGAGATGAACAAAGCATTCTGACACATTTAGGCTGTATTATTATTATTTATAAAGCACCAACAAATTCCGTAGCACTGTTGTCAAGACTTACCTTTGTTCCCTCGCTGCTCCAGGGGCACCACCCAAACGAGTGCATGTGCAAATGCTAGGGTCAGGCTGCAAACCCCAAATTCTGATTGCATCATATCTCCCAGGCAACGATAGACCCTTTTTAAGGTTGAGCGCTCACTACATAATTGTAGAAGCCTCATGTACCTGACAGATTTACCACTTGGAATCATCCTCCTCCAGGTCCCATTTAGGTCAATGGCAAAGAAGAATTTGAGGTGGCTAAAATCCTGGATTCTCATATTTACCATGGCCAACTTCAGTATCTCATCCACTGGAAGGGTTATGGTCCGGAAGAAAGGTCTTGGGAGCTATCCATCAATGTCCATGCACCACGCCTGCTTCGTTCTTTTCATCAAAGTCATCCTGGACGTCCTGCTCCCCTAGACCTCCGAATGATGTGTCTTAGGAGGGGGTATTATCAAGACTTACCTTCGTTCCCTCACTGCTCAGGTGGCACCTTCAAGCCATTGCTGTCTAAATGCACGCATGTGAAAATGCTAGGGGCAGGCTACAAACCCCGAACTCTGATGGCATCACATCTCCCAGGCAATGATAGACACTTTGGAGATGTGCATGATCATTCCATGCTGCAGAACAACCCTGTGGGTGCAGCTGGAATCAATTAAAAAAATGTTTACTTCCCATGGCAACACCCATGGCAATGACTGACAGCCCTATGCACCATTAGGGTGTTATGAAGAAATGTCAGAATAGGTGTGTCTTTAGTTTGGCTCCCTATTTAAACTGTGAACAGCTGAGATGTCATTGTTCAGTTGTTCTGTGTACAGCTCTCCTGTATTACCTGACCTTTGGCTTGCCCCTTTACTTCTGAACCTTTGCTGCCTGGATATTGACTTTTGGACTGCCTGACCTTGCCTTTGCCTTGCCCCTACCGGATTTGTTTGCCTTGGACTTTGTTTCTTTATTATTTTTGGTAAACCACTGCAAGTACTGCACTTTGGGTTTCATACTGCTAAACCTGACAGCTGTACAATAGGTGGACTAACAGACATATATTTGCAATAATATGAGTTGGACACAATAGAGCATGTTGAGGGCCCTGCTCATTGTAGAGTGAGTTGCCATCCTTCAATGTGAAAAAACAGTGCCCTAACAGCTTATACAAACTGTGTCTGCAGAGTTAGCAGGCGTAGCCACACCATAAGACTTAGCCAAGCAGGGCAAAACCACTACAACAAAAAATATATCATTTTATTATTAGACCATAAAATCAAAACATATTACTTTTATTATTATTATGTTATTATTTATATGGCGCCATCAAATTCCACAGCGCTTTACAATGGGTGGACGAACAGACATGTAGTTGTAGCCAGACCAGTTGGACACAGGAACAGAGGGGTTGAGGGCCCTGCTCAATGAGCTTACATGCTAGAGGGAGTGGGATAAAGTGATACAAAAAGGTAAGGATAGTATTAGACTAGTGACAGTTGCAAAAGAGGAATCAGTCGGTAGCTATTAACAGTTTGATACGCTTTTATGAAGAAGTGGGTTTTTAATGATTTTTTGAAAGAGTGGAGACTGGGTGAGCATCTAATGGAGGAGGGAAGCGAGTTCCACAGGAACAGTGCAGCCCTCAAGAAGTCTTGAAGGCGAGCATCAGAGGTGGGAGTATGGACAGAATACCAGCAGATCTTAAGGGCCTAGGCGGGACATACTTGTGTATTAGGGAGGATAGATAGGTGGGAGCAGCATTATATAGAGATTTGAAAGCAAGAACCAGAATTTTAAATTGAGCCCTATATCTTACAGGAAGTCAATGTAGGGACTGACAGAAGGGTGAGGCGTGGGAGGTGCGGGCAGACAAGTAGATGAGCCTTGCCGCCGCATTCATTATGGACTGTAATGGCGCAAGTTGGGAGCACGTAAGACCACTGAGAAGCGGATTACAGTAGTCAAGGCGAGAAAGGACAGTGGAATGGACCAGCGCCTTAGTCGCATCTGGCGTTACGTAGGGTCGGAGGCATGCAATGTTTTTGAGATGGAAACGACAGGATTTGGCGATAGACTGAACATGAGGCTTGAAGGAAAGGTTGGAGTCAAAGAGAACACCTAGGCAGCGAGCCTGCGTGGTGGAGCTGATGGTAGCACCGTTGACTTGGAGGGAGACAGACACAGGAGTAACAACACTTGAGGGAGGAAAGACCAGAATTTCAGTTTTGGTCAAATTTAGTTTATCCAGTAAGAAATAGTAGAGAGGCAGTCAGACACACTAGTCAAGAGGGACGGGGAGAGATCAGGAGAGGACAGGTAGATTTGCATGTCATCTGCATAGAAATGATACCGGAAGCCAAAGGAGCTAATGAGTTACCAAGGGAGGCAGTATAGATGGAGAACAGTAGGGGACCAAGTACTGAACCCTGGGGGACACCAACAGAGAGGAGTTGGGGAGAAGAAGCAGAGCCAGAGAAAGAAACACTGAAAGAGCGCTGGGAGAGGTAGAAGTGGCCCAGTCAGAGTCCTGACCTCAACCCGATTGAGATGCTGTGGCATGACCTCAAGAAAGCGATTCACACCAGACATCCCAAGAATATTGCTGAACTGAAACAGTTCTGTAAAGAGGAATGGTCAAGAATTATTCCTGACCGTTGTGCACGTCTGATCTGCAACTACAGGAAACGTTTGGTTGAAGTTATTGCTGCCAAAGGAGGTTCAACCAGTTATTAAATCCAAGGGTTCACATCCTTTTTCCACCTGCACTGTGAATGTTTACATGGTGTGTTCAATAAAAACATAGTTTAAGCAGACTGTGATTGTCTATTGTTGTGACTTAGATGATGATCAGATCACATTTTATGACCAATTTGTGCAGAAATCCATATCATTCCAAAGGGTTCACATACTTTTTCTTGCAACTCTAGGTCATGTCAAAATAACCTAATTGCATTTTATGAAGAGGTAAGTAGAAGTATAGATCAGTTGCGGTGGATGTGATCTATTTGTATTTTACCAAGGTATTTGATATGGTTACTTACAATAGGTTACTGTTCAAACTAAAATAAATTGGTCTAGATGAATATTCTTATTCTTGGGTAGAACATTGGCTTAAAGATACATTGAAGGAAAAAAGTATTTGATCCACTGCTGATTTTGAATGTTTGCCCACTGTGACGGAACACGGCCACTGAGTGCCATATCCACATATACCCACTTCTTATTCATGTGGTTCCCCTCGTTCCCTAAGTGTTTCGTGTTCTGTACCTTGTTTCCCTGTTCGGGATCTTTCATGCAAACGTAACCCATTTGTCTCCCGAACAGGGACCACCCTGGTGCCCCATTGGAATGTTCACACCAATCAATTAGAACATGCACACCAGTAACATAAGTGCAAAACCACAAGGGAAGTAGTTAATGAGTGCTCCCCTGGGTGGACGCCATTTCGTATAGACAAAGGCCACCCAGGGGGAGCATACGTATCCCGAAAGGAGACGCTTCCCTTGCCAGGTGTTTGCACAGTCGGGAAATATACTGGTGTGGGGTTCCTGAGGTTGGTGGGGACACTTTAATGGGACTGGCTACCTGCTCCTAAACGAGCCATAATCACTGGCCAGAGGAGATCCAAGAACCTCCTGCCTGCAGCCGGAATGTCAGCAGGGCGGACAGCGGCTGCAGGGGCTCCCTTCCCGGGAGCTACGAGTCCAGGCTCGTAGCTGTCCAAAGAGCGCTCTCTCCAGTGCTACCTATGTGGAGAGGCGTGAGCCACGGCAGAATCCCTGGAACTTTGAGGCGGCTTTACTGCTGCAGGTTACCAGGCGGTCTGCTACACCCACTGACAATGAAATGATCAGTCTATAATTTTAATGGAAGGTGTATTTTTACAATGAGAGACAGAATAACAAAAAACAAAAAATCCAGATTGATTTGGATGTCAATAAGTGAAATAAGTATTTGACCCCTTCGACTTAGTATTTGGTGGAATAACACTTGTTGGCAATCACAGAGGTCAGACATTACTTGTAGTTGGCTACCTGGTTTGCACACCTCTCAGGAGGGATTTTGTCCCACTCCTCTTTGCAGATCCTCTCCAAGTCATTAAGGTTTTGAGGCTGACGTTTGACAACTCGAACCTTCAGCTTCCTCCACAGATTTTCTATGGGATTAAGGTCTGGAGACTGGCAAGGCCACTCTAGGATCTTAATGTGCTTCTTCTTGAGCCACTCCTTTGTTGCCTTGGATGTGTGTTTTGGATCGTTGTCATGCAGCAATACCCATCCACAACCTATTTTCAATGCCCTGGCTGAGGGAAAGAGGTTCTGACCCAAGATTTGACAGTACATGGCCCCGTCTATTGTCCCTTTGATGCGGTGCAGTTGTCCTGTCCTCTTAGCAGAAAAACACACAAAGAGCATAATGTTTCCACCTCCTTGTTTGACGGTGGGGATGGTGTTCTTGGGGTCATAGGCAGCATTCCTCCTGCTACAAACATGTTGAGTTGATGCCAAAGAGCTCGATTTTGGTCTCATCTGACCACAACACTTTCACCTAGTACTCCTCTGAATCATTCAAATGTTCACTGGCAAACCTTAGACAGACCTGTACTTTCTTGAGCAGGGGGACCTTCCGGGTGCTGCAGGATTTCAGTCCTTCACAATGTAGTGTGTTACCAATTGTTTTCTTGGTCACTAGCTGCCTAGAGATCATTAACAAGATCATCCCGTGTAGTTCTGGGATGATTCCTCACCGTTCTCATAATCATTGAAACTCCACAAGCTGAGATCTTGCATGGAGCACCAGAGCAAGGGAGACTGACCATTATTTTGTGATTCTTCCATTTGCGAATAATGGCACCAACTGTTCTCACCTTCTCACCAACCTGCTTGGTCTTGTAGCCCATTCCAGCCTTGTGTAGGTCTACAATCTCTGATGTCTCTGACATCCTTGGACAGCTCTTTGGTCTTGGCCATGGTGGAGAGTTGGGATCTGGTTGATTGATTGCATCTGTGAACAGGTAACAAGCTGAGATTAGGAGCTCTCCCTTTAAGAAAGTGATCCTAATCTCAGCTCGTTACCTGTATAAAAGACACCTGAGAGCCAGAAATTCTGCTGATTGATAGGAGATCAAATACTTATTTCACTCATTTTTTGACATAAATTTATAACTTTTTTGAAATGTGTTTTTCTGGATTTTTTTTTGTTTTGTTATTCTGTCTCTCCCTGTTAAAATACACCTACCATTAAAATTATAGACTAATCATTTCTTTGTCAGTGGACAAACGTTCAAAATCAGCAGGGGATCAAACACTTTTTTCCCTTTCATTGTAAAGAACAGAGATTTGTCATTAGTGGTACTTTTTCAAGCTGGACAAAAATGGTAAGTGGTGTCCCTCAGGGTTCTGTTCCAGGGCTGCTTCCATTTAACATATTTATGAATGATCTCTAAATAGGCATTGAAAGACAATGTTCTGCCTCTAGGTCAAATTGCCTAGATAGGGCGTCAGCCTTAACGTTTTTAGGACCTAGTCTGTAGGTGATTATAAAGTTAAAGTGTGACAAGAACAACGACCATCTAGCTTGTCTAGAAGACAGCCTTTTAGCATTACCAATATATGCCAAGTTTTTGTGATCAGTTATGATAGAAACATAGAAACATAGAATGTGACGGCAGATAAGAACCATTCGGCCCATCTAGTCTGCCCAATTTTCTAAATACTTTCATTAGTCCCTGGCCTTATCTTATCGTTAGGATAGCCTTATGCCTATCCCATGCATGCTTAAACTCCTTTACTGTGTTAACCTCTACCACTTCAGCTGGAAGGCTATTACATGCATCCACTACCCTCTCAGTAAAGTAATACTTCCTGATATTATTTTTAAACCTTTGTCCCTCTAATTTAAGACTATGTCTTCTTGTTGTGGTAGTTTTCTTCTTTTAAATATAGTCTCCTCCTTTACTGTGTTGATTCCCTTTATGTATTTAAATGTTTCTATCATATCCCCCCTGTCTCGTCTTTCCTCCAAGCTATACATGTTAAGATCCTTTAACCTTTCCTGGTAAGTTTTATCCTGCAATTTTATCCTACCAGTTTAGTAGCCCTTCTCTGAACTCTCTCTAAGGTATCAATATCCTTCTGAAGATACGGTCTCCAGTACTGCGTACAATACTTCAAGTGAGGTCTCACCAGTGTTCTGTGTTCAGTGTTTCTACTGCTAATACCTCTCCCTATACAACCAAGCATCCTGCTAGCATTTCCTGCTGCTCTATTACATTGTTTGCCTACCTTTAAGTCATCAGAAATAATCACCCCTACACCCCTTTCCTCAGATGTTGAGGTTAGGACTCTATCAAATATTCTGTACTCTGCCCTTGGGTTTTTACGTCCAAGATGCATTATCTTGCACTTATCCACATTAAATGTCAGTTGCCACAATTCTGACAATTTTTTTCTAGTTTACCTAAATCATTTGCCATTTGGCTTATCCCTCCTGGAACATCAACCCTGTTACATATCTTAGTATTGTTATGGACAGATGAATTAGAATAAAATGGCTATTTACTAATGTCTATTTATTCTGTGTACACTATGTTAAAACTGGCTGCTAGAGTAAATATTCCCTCCCCCCCCTACAATGTGTTCATTTGCTGTTTCCTCTGTAAATTCCTCTGTATCCTGCTAAGCATCCCCCTTCCCATCAAGCAAACCTCGTGTAACCAAAATTCCTGTGTTAAAAGCTTACTTTACTAAACTCCTCCCCCACTTCCTTTGTGCCAGTTAACAGCTATATGCCACATGTAACAAAATGGAGAATCACTGTTAAAGTAACTGAAAGAAACTACTCACTCCCCCTGTCATCGTGTGTCCAGGAGCTGGAATATAGGCAGGAAAAGTCTGTAATGACGACACTACATCCTGTAGGGGGGGGGGGGTTTAGACAAGACCCCTTAGACTGTTAACCAATTGTTGAATTTATACTGTATGTGTAAACTGTTACGTATTTTTGCCACTCCGGGAAATAAAGCATTCCTTGGTTTTTCACTGATCAGAAACTTTGTCTCCGGTGTGAATTACTTCTAGGGAAAGCGTGCACGCATTAATTAATCAATTTGGAAGGAGTAGATAGACAAATAATCAAAGTTTTCTTTGATCCAAAACAATTTGGGGGCTCGTCCGGGATGTGAGGGTTACGTTAATAAGGAAGCCGTAAAATCCCAGGACCGGAGAGGAGACCCCCAGAGATTGAAAAAAAAAAAAGAGCCTGATCACCTCTGCATATGGTAAATGAGTTACTTACCCTATATTTTCCTTTCTTTGGACTTCGTTTACTCTCCGTTCCTTCACTCTGCTTCCTGTTAACGTCTTCGACAGGTATATAGTATGCCCACATGTCCCCTTTATTTGAATAGAACCTGTCAATTTGTCTATCTACGTCCTGAGTGTGAGTTTTATGTGTGAAAGTGTCTGCTTGAGAATCTGTTTTACTACTTGCTTAATACTGTTATATAATGCTGCCAAGTGTGGTTAAGCGCTGGCATATTTAGCCAAGTTCGGGTTTGATGGAAAAACCCTGGCTGTTTCTTTGTTTTAGTTAGACTCGTTGAGAGTTTAATGATTTATTTTGTTGTTTTAGCTAAGCTTCGGTAAAGAAGCTAGTGAGTGACTCGGTTAAGAGTTTAAAGGTTTATTTTGTTGTTTTAGCTAATCTTCGGTAAAGAAGCTAGTGAGTGACTCGGTTAAGAGTTTAAAGGTTTATTTTGTGGTTTTGGCTAGGTTTCGGTGAAGAAACTAGTGAATGTTGTTTTAATTTAACTCGGTTTAGAGTTTAAAGGTTTTATTTGTTTTAGCTAAGTTTATTTGGTAAAGTAAGAACTGGTGCCTTTTCTTTTAGTAAAGCTCGGTGTAGAGTTACAAAGAAAAGAAAAGGAAAAGTTAATGTTTATGTGCTTGAGTGTTTCTGTGTGTGTGATTTGAGTTATTAGCCGACATTTATTTTAAGGACTTTGTGATTTAATTACATCTGTATTTTGTGCTTTTGTCTGTGTATGTCTTGTTGGGTACCATATATGTTAATTGTAATCTATACAATCTGTATCGTTACTCTCCTATTCTATCTTTTGTCCTAAGGAGAGCTGTGCTTAGGCAATCACATGGTTAAAAAACTTTGTGCTTGCAAGTCTTCTTCCCCCCCCTCCTTCTTGGTTGCTTTCTCTTGCTCAGACTGCTATGAGTATTGGCTACAGGGGGGGATGAGGAATGTAAGGGAAATCTTCCAGCTGCTGGCCATTAACTGGCCATTAGCTGTTAAAAAAAAAAAAAAAAAAAAACAAAGATCAGAAATGTTATTAAACTAGTCTGTACTTACAATGCATTGATTTGTAAACGAGATGCAGGTCAAGAAAATTTAGAATCAGCAGATAAAGAAATAAATGTGAATATGTTAACAGAAGACAAATCAGATTTAAATGACCAGTGTAACAAAGTAACAGAGAGCACACACTGTAATTGTGAGAGATTGTCAGAAAAAGTGTGTGAATTAGAGGATAGAGATGAATTAAGAAATGATTTTTTTTGCCAGCTTACAAATGAAGTTAAGCACGTGTGTGTTAATACAAGAAAAATGCAGACACTGAAATGTTGGAAAAACTAAAACCACACAAGGGGGAGGATATATTTAGTTTTCTTGTAGAATTTGAAAGTACATATAGGCTTGCTGCTGATTTTTCTGAAGATCAGTTAATTAATGAATTTGTGAAAAAATTTCAAGATCTAGATCCAACTGCAATTGTGTTAGCAAGAGAAAAAAGTACTTTGAAGGAAGTTTCTTTATTCTTAGATAACATAAGGAAATATCCAGACATGAAGGGGTTACACTGACTTGTTAGACGCAGAGAAAGAAGTGCAGATTTTACACCCCTCGTCCCCCTCCTCCTCCTTCTTCTAGGACAGAGTGTAAAAGAGTGATACAGACAGCTGAGCCCCTCCCAATGTGTTCAACTAAAAACTGTAGAGTTAATCAAAAACAGAATATAACTCCTAAAATGATTTGTTTTTGGTGCAATAAACAACATTATTTAAGATCTTGCAGATATTTTATCCGAGATATCAAATCAAAAGCAAATGAGAAATTAAATTTGTTGATTGAAAATTTTGACAGAGAAAATACATGTGGAGATAAATCAATTAAAGCCTTTCCTTGTAAACTGATAATCAGACAAATAAGAACAATTTTAGCTAAATCAAAATTACGAGACAGAGAAGCAATGCAGTGTAACACAGAAAGTTATAAGAATCAGATTACTTCAATAGATATGATCAGTTTAGGGAATGAGCATGGATATGTGTGCCAACAGATGTACACAGGCTGATTCCAGAATTAAGAACAGCACAAGAATAGAGATCTATGTTAGTTTATTGTTTTAAATGAATTGTTAGTCTGTACTGTCTTTCATTGTTTTTATGTGTGTTATAAGAAAGTATTAGGTTAATTAATTAAAATAAAAATTTACATCAAGTTTGCAAATATGGCAGAATGAAATACACTAATGTAGCAGTTAGGAGACATGCAATCTATGATATATTGGGTGTATGCAATTATACTGTAACTCCAATCATTTTACAGAAGAAAAAACAATAGATTTATTCTTTGTTGCTTCTGAGGTTGATTTAAAATCTTTGATTTAATTCATGAGAATGAGATTTTAATATCATGACTGATAATGGATTACTGTATATTGCAACGCCTGGACATACACATGTTTTGGATATACTGAAGACAAAAGGAATAATATATGGGAATGGATAAGGCTGATTTCCCCCTATCCACAGCCATGCCTACTCCTAAAGTAACATCGCGTCCATCCTTACTATGCCCTTTTACTGTAGAATTGCCCGAATCCTAATGACCCATTCCACTATATGGTCTGACTTGTTTAAGCCTAAGATAAATTGGCTGATCAGGCTACCTATATTAACAATGTCATCAACAATGAGTTAGCATCTGTGGAGAAGTATCACTTCAGGTTGTCCCAAATTTTCTTTTAACTTAAGTTTTAGTACATAGTAAGGCCCATGCCCAACAACTATATGCAGCCTTGTATAGCAGGCCACATGACATCTATTTGTACCAAGCAAGGCCTGCCTGACTCCTCATTCCTGTCTAACATTGTTGTCTCCTGCATAAGTGTAGATGGCTCTCCTTGGAGTAGCCTGTTAACTAAGCCTTGCTTTGTGGTTACCTTCACCTGTCCAATTAATCTGCTAGGTGCAGATGTCCTTCCCCCACTTGCAGGCCCCTATCACCTTATTATTTCTTTTGTTCCACACAGTGAAACCTGACCAAGAGGCAAGGGTCCTAGCTAGTTCCCCCAATACCTTTACCTGAATTATACAGGCCCCAAAGCCTGTCCAAGCTCTTACTATTCCCTAACAGGTTAAGGCTCTGGTGTTGAATGGTGCCCTGGTTCCCTGAGACTTTCCATGCAATATCCCACCTCTCCTTGTGATGGACGAATTCTGTGCAGGATAATGTCACCCTGCAGGGATGATACTCTATTTACCTGGCCACTCTTCTGCCACTTCCCAGGGGGGGAAATGATAAGACACTGACTATTATTTTTTTTAGCCTTTTTCTTATGATCTGTTCTGGATTTGCTGTCACTACAGTGGACCAAGTATCTCACCTCAACAATGTCTGCACAAGAAGCTGAGCTATAGGCTCCCATCACAGCATGCAAGATCTCTGAAGGAAGACTGAACTCAGAGGAAGCATGTGGCAACTCTCTGGCTGTCCAAGTTGTTCAAGAAGTTGTAAGTGCACTAAGGGAAGTGGACAGAAAAGTGTCTGCTGCAGAAACTCCCATATTCACCATGTAAGATCCTACCCACAGACATCAAGCTCCCGAAGGAATAACAAGCAGCTACTGACCCTGGAAAGTGAAAAAAAAACACAAGCTGGAAACAGAAAGGGGCAACCCTTAAAGACAGGCTGTACTTCAACAATCTCAAGTTCTGCTTGCCCAAGAACATATACTCAGCAGTGGTCCAGTGGGCCTACGGAGCATCTGTCCAGAACTCTCATGAACTCTTTTGATCAATAAATACTCTGAAGTACCAGGAATTGCCTCTCTGACCAACATTTACTGTAAATCTTGTGCCATTTGTGCCAAGGGCAACTCAGGAAGAATGGAGGAAAGCCCTAAGCATCTAGCCAAACCTCATTATCTCTTCCAGAGGAGTCAAGTCGACTACATCCAGAATGCCAAAGAATGGCTGATTCAAATATGCACTAATTATAGCAGACATGTTTTCAGGATGGCCAGAGGCCTATCCAGCCACCAAAGTGATAACCAAGACCACATGCTGAGTAGTGCACTGTGAAAGTTACAGAGATCACCCCGTGGATTCATCATTCCAGAATCAAGCCTGCCTCTGCATCATGTGAAGTAGCATTTGTTGATCTTGACAACCCTTTTTTGAAACTCCATGCTTAGAGAACAAAGATACTTGTTGAAAATAAATAAATAAATAAATATCAACAAGTGGGTGTTTTGATGGCCATAATAATGCCTGACCACCTGCCATCGATGGAAAGCCGAATACCCCAAAAGGGGACCTCGTGAAACTAAAGAGAAACAGACATACTTTTTACCCTGCAGCCCTCACGTCTGAGGTGCCATACGCACAGTCAAAGCTTCTTCAGGATCATCTGCTTATCTTGAGTTTGTGGTGATATTAATATTGAATGTTTAAATGATCTGAATCTGCCAGTACTAGGGTAGCATGAGACAAGATTTCTAAGATTAAGAATAAGTAAATGTGCCCTAGCCAAGGTTATTATGTCCATACACATAACACATGACAATCCCCAAGGTACTCTTGACACACCTCATTCATGCTTCAGGACAAAAAGGAGTACCCCTATAAAGGGTGGTTTTACCCACACACACACACATATATATGTATATATATATATATATATTAATGCCATAGGGGTGTCAAGGGGGTTACCAAATGATTTTAAGGTAAGAAACTAAGTTTGAATCTATTCTCCCAAGCATTACGGCTAATAAAATCTGAATTGGAAGGGAAGAGGTTTATACAATAAACAGGAGACCTTTTTCTTACAAGACATGTATGACTCACTTGAATGGGTAGGTGCCACATGACTGTTAATCCCCTCAAACCACACATTAGGACTTTAAAAGACATGGTAGTCATCCCATATTTGAGGATACTAGGGCTGTAGAGACAGGTTTCTCTGACACTAACTTGTGACTTGAATGGATGAAATACAATGCTACTAAACATAACAAGTCTAAATGCTGTCTGCGGAGGAGCAAGGCCTCACCAGGTACTGTATCCCTGAACCTTCCTCCGGATATGAAGTATGCGTTTTAAGTCTCTACACAGTATTTAAACCTAAGCGGTCAGCATGCGAGTCATGGAAACTTAATACCCAATCATTACTAAAAATATTATGCCCAGACGAAGGCATTACTATATATCCCGGGAACTATACTTGTTATGGGATATATGGTGGGATAGGGCGGTTACAAACTACCTCTCAGATGACCTTCCAGAATAGAATAAGCTTGGAAATGATTTTGGCAGAAAAAGGGAGAGTATGTAAAATACTCCCAGGCACCATAACATGCTGTACCTATATTCCAGATAATACAGGCCCTAAGGGTAAGGTAACGTTGGCAATAGAAAAGTTAAAGAGTTTGTCCAACGAGCTGAAATGAAATTCTGGGGCCGCAGATCCATGGGAAAGATGGTTTGGATGGATGACTGGATGGCAAGGTGCTCTGGCCCAAATAGGTGTTGCCATTTTAATAACGATAATCATCCTCGCTCTTCTTGTTTGTTGTTTGTTATCCTGTCTTAAGAAATGCCTACAAAAGACAGTTGATCAGACAATCGACCAGACCACCCTGACCTTCCTTCACCAAGAGATTGACGACATAGACCGTGATACACCACATACACCCTTACAGTCCGACCGCACTAAATCAACAGCTACTTCCTCTTAAGGACATTCAGGGATAGCGTCTGTCTCTACGGGCAGAAGTCTGTCGCAGGAAGAAGTAGTGGACAAGCTGCTACGGGTTACCCGCGCAGTGAAGTGTTCGAGGCCTGTTCAGACAGATGTGCAAGATAGCCTTTGTTATTTTTCTATAGGGACAGTATTAGAGTGAGAGTAAACTACTAGATAGTAGTTTCTAGTGAAATTGCCATTTTAAGGGGGGACTGTTATGGACAGATGAATTAGAATAAAATGGCTATTTACTAATGTCTATTTATTCTGTGTACACTATGTTAAAACTGGCTGCTAGAGTAAATATTCCCTTCCCCCCCTACAATGTGTTCAGTTGCTGTTTCCTCTGTAAATTCCTCTGTATCCTGCTAAGCATCCCCCTTCCCATCAAGCAAACCTCATGTAACCAAAATTCCTGTGTTAACAGCTTCCTTTACTAAACTCCTCCCCCACTTCCTTTGTGCCAGTTAACAGCTATATGCCACGTGTAACAAAATGGAGAATCACTGTTAAAGTAACTGAAAGAAACTGTTCACTCCCCCTGTCATCGTGTATCCAGGAGCTGGAATATAGGCGGGAGAAGTCTGTAATGACGACACTACATCCTGTAGGGGGGTTTAGACAAGACCCCTTAGACTGTTAACCAATTGTTGAATGTATACTGCATGTTTAAACTGTGACATATTTTTGCTTTAAGAAGGAGCCCCCACTCCGGGGAATAAAGCATTCCTTGGTTTTTCACTGATCAGAAACTTTGTCTCCGGTGTGAATTACTTCTAGGGAAAGCGTGCACGCATTAATTAATCAATTTGGAAGGAGTAGATAAACAAATAATCAAAGTTTTCTTTGATCCAAAACAGTATCATCAGCAAAAAGACATTCCTTACCATCAAGATCTTCTGCAATATCACTAATAAAAATATTAAAGAGAATGGGTACAAGTACAGATCCCACTGGTGACAAGCCCAAGCTCCGAATATACTCCATTGACTACAACCCTCTGTTGCCTGTCACTCAGTCACTGCCTTACCCATTCAACAATATTGGAATCCAAACTTAAAGATTGCAGTTTATTGATAAGCCTTCTATGTGCAACAGTGTCAAACGCCTTATTGAAATCTAGGTAAGCAATGTCTACTGCACCACCCTGATCTATTATTTTAGTTACCCAATCAAAAAAATCAATAAGATTAGTTTGACATGATCTCCCTGAAGTAAACCCATGTTGTCTCTGACCTTGAAATCCATGTGTTTTTAGATGTTCAACAATCCTATCCTCCAACATGGTTTCCATCACTTTCCCCACTACTGAAGTAAGGCTTACTGGCCTATAGTTGCCCGACTCCTCCCTATTACCTTTCTTGTGAATGGGCACAACATTCGCTAACTTCCAATCTTCTGGGACTACTCCTGTTAACATTGATTGGTTAAATAAATCTGTTCATGGTTTTGCTAGTACACCACTAAGCTCTTTTAATAGCTTTGGGTGTATTCCATCAGTTCCCATTGACTTATTTGTCTTTACTTTTGACAGTTGAAATAGAACCTCTTCCTCTGTAAACTCGTGTAATAAATGACTCAGTTATCCTTTTTCTTAACGGAGGTCCCTTTCCTTCATTTTCATCTGTAAATACCGAACAAAAATATTAATTGAGGCAGTCAGCTAGGCCTTTATGCTCTTCTACATACCTTCCTTCTTTTGTTTTTAATCTAATTAATCCATGTTTTACTTTTCTTTTCTCATTTATATATTTCAAAAAAGTTTTGTCCCCTTTTTTTACTGACTGTGCTATTTTCTCTTCTGTGTGTGATTTGGAAGTTCTTATAACTTGCTTAGCCTCTTTCTGCCTAATCTTATAGATCACTCAGTCTTCATCACTCTGGTTTTTTTTATAATTACCAAATGCTAACTTTTTTTGTTTTTTACTATTTTGGCCACAGTGGTTTCTTGAAATTTTTGCTTTTACTGACAAGCCTAATGCAATTTTCTGTTGCCTTCAGTAGTGCAACTTTTAAATAATCCCATTTCTCTTGGACTCCATTTAAGTTGCTCTAGTCTGATAATGACTCCTTTACACATATTCTAATTTTAGAAAAGTCTGTTTTTCTAAAGTCTAAAACTTTTGTTTTTGTGTGGTGTGACTCAGTCACTGTTCTTATATTAAACCACACTGTCTGGTGATGACTGGAACCTAAACTTTCACCTACAGTAATATCTGATACCAAATCTCCATTTGTTAACACTAAATCTAGTACGGCCTCTTTACGAGTTGGCTCCTCAACAACTTGTTTTAGAGACAATCCCAATAGGGAGTTTAGAATATGTGTGCTCCTGGCACAAGCAGCTATTTTTGTTTTCCAATTCACATCAGGAAGATTATGATGATAGGATGATAACTTCCCCCTTCATTGTCATTTTAGCTATTTCTTCAACTAGTAGATTATCTAACTCTTTAATTTTTCCTGGGGGCCTATAAATCACACCTACACGAGTTACTGTGTTATTACCAAATTCTAACGTAACCCATACGGACTTTATGTTCGCCTCACTAACTTTTATTAGGCTAGATTTTATGCTATCCTTCACATACAGGGCCACCCCTCCCCCTTTCTTGTCTTCCCTGTCTTTTCTATATAAAGAGTACCCTGGTATGTCCCAGTCATTTTTCTCATTATACCATGTCTCAGTAACAGCGACTAAATCTACACTATCAGTTGCCATTATTGCCACAAGTTCATGGATCTTATTCCCTAAACTGCGAGCATTTGTAGACATGACTCTAAGCTTATCATTTTTTTAACACACTTGCTACAGGCACCTTCTGTCCTTGTTTTGGGGGACAATTGTTTTGATGTTTTATCACCCTTTTGCCCCCCCCCACCTCTCCTAGTTTAAATACATCCTAGCAAAACCTCTGAACTGCTCATTGAGAACATTTGTTCCCTTTTGAGAAAGATGCAAACCATCTTTTTTGTACAGTTTATTTCCATTCCAAACAGAGCTACCATGAGAAATAAAGCCAAATCCTTGCTCCCGACACCGTTCACAAAACCACAAGTTAAAGTCCCTAATACGCATCCGCCTGTTGTTCTGAGTGTTATGCACAGGCAGAACTTCAGAGAATGACAGTGTGGAAGCAACCTGCCGTATATCATTGGCAAAAACACTAAAAACTTCCTTAACCTCTGAAACCTCATTGCAAGCCAAGTCATTTGTCCCTAGATGGACAAGTACATCCAATTCCCCTTCCTGCTTTGCTCGCTTAACAATATTACAGATACGTCTCCTGTCTCTGTGAGCAGTAGCTCCAGGAAGACACCTCACAAGACCACCATTGTCCATCTCCACACCTCTTATGATGAAATCCCCCAACAACATCTGCTTTCTATTAGGCCTCACCATAGTCTCCAAGCCTGTCTCCACAACAGCACTAGCCTCAGTGCCTGAGCCTGTCTCCACAGGACCACTAGCCTCAGTGCCTGAGCCTGTCTCCACAGCATCACTAGCCTCTGTGCCTGAGCCTGTCTCCACAACACCACAACCCTCAGTGCCTGAGCCTGTCTCCACAACACCACTACACTCAGTACCTCTCTCCGCAACACCACTACCCTCAGTGCCTGTCTCCATAACACCATTACACTCTGAAAGTGCAGAAAATGAATTATGTAGAGCAACAGACTGTGCAATATGCCTTTTATCCACAACTCTAAGTCTACCAGATCCTAGTAATCCATCTGCCATTCCTAGTATGTCTCTGTGGCAGTGGCTATGCAGCAGTTCCAGCCTGAGTTTGTTTACCAGATAATTTACAAATCTCAGACTTCAAAAATACAATCTCCTGCCGCAAGATAGAGAACTGTCTACAGATTAGACAACAACCAAACCTCCAAAAAGTGGAA